AGTTCCTCCCCGGCCGCCGCGAAGCGCTTCGAGAGGCCAAAGTCCGTCAGTTTGATGTGCCCCCGCGCGTCCAGCAGAATGTTGTCGGGTTTGATGTCGCGGTGCACAAAGAACATGTCGTGCACACTCGCCACCGCGGCGCAGAGCTCCGCAATGTAAAACCGCGTGCTCTCCACATCGAACTTCTGCTTGAGGCACAGCCAGGAGATCATGTCCCCGCCAGGCATGTACTCCATCACCATGTAGAGGTACTGCTCGTCCTGGAAACTCAAGTACAATCGCACCACCCACATATTCTTCGCAGCCGCCTCCGCCATCACATCCTTCTCGGAACGAACATGCAGAATCTGTTTTTTACGAATCATATCCGTCTTTCGCATACGCTTTAGGGCGTACAGCTGCCCATCCACCTCCCCTTTACGACGGCATACATACACCTCCCCAAAGGCACCTTTTCCAATACGCTTGATGAGAATAAAATCATCCACACGAGGCTCACGCTGTCTTGGTCCAACCGGACGCGCACTTCCTCCACTCCGAGCATCACGCAACATTCCACGGTAATGATTCTCAAGAAATGCCTTACTGGCTGCGGCCTTGTGATGCGATACATCCGAAATAGGACCAGCCTCCGTGTATGCGGCGCCCTTCAACACTTTCTGGGACTCTTTCATATTACTTCACTGAAATAAACGAAACCAAGAGGAAACCAAGACGTAGGAGGGTTCCACCAGCTAGATATACACAAAAAAAAAAAAAAAAAACAGGAATAACAAACTACAGACAATGATCAATAACCTAGATGTACGCGCTTGACCGTTATCAGGAGCGTTTGTCTTTTTTTTTTTCCCTTTTCCTTATTTTCCTCTTTCCTTCCTACCTATAGGTACTTAAGAGGGGTGTACAAAAAGAAAATAAACTTGTCTTTATTTCTTTCTTTCTGACGAACCTGTTTTCACTTCTATTATTTAGAAAAAGTCAAATAGGCAATACAACTGCCTACCAAACTTGTTTTTCTTTTTCTTACCCTTTCTACACCCCCTTGCTTTATTGCTTTTCTTCTTTTTTTTTTTTTGTTTACACTGCTGCAAATACAATGTTGAAGATAAAACAAACAAAACTATACCAAAAAAGAAAAACAAATAGAGAAAAGAAAAAAAAAAAAGCATAACAAAGACAATGCACGCACATTTAATAATAATAATAAAATAATATGACCAGTAGCTATGAGTTTTACTATTATTCTTTATCCGGGTATATGTATATAAAAATGTGTGACTCTGTGCAGATATCCGGAGCATCAGATTCTTTACTTCAGTTATCCTCCTTTAAATATATACTTGCCGCTCTATACCACCATCATCAGAAGCAGCTGCCCATCTTTTTTTTTTTTTTCCTCTCTCCATCACGTATTTTTTTTTTTTTTATTCATTCCCTCCTCACAAATGAGATATTATTTAATGTGAGTTTAAGAGTGAAAAAAAGAGTACAAATAAAAAAAAGATAGGGAATGAAACACAAAAACCGAAAAAAAAAAAAAACAGCAGCATCAACCGAACACCATCCAGCGCACATCATCTACCAACACTTACACACAGGTTAATCCTTCTCGCTAAGCCAGCGGTAGTAGTCATTAACAATGTAATATCGACTATCCAACTTGCGAATAACAAGACGTTGAAAGAACTCTCGTTTATGTTCATCATCATACGTCACAATGCCGTGTACGGTCATAATAAACGAGTCTGCTTGCTCATTGCCTGGAAGTGGCTGAGCATCTACGCAATCAATCTTGTGGGATGTCTTTGGCAATCCACTGAGGTACGCCATTATGGCTGTAGTGTCGGGAAGTTGATGCCCGTTCCACTCGCACAGCATTGGTGTACCAGGTGCATATAAGTTTACAATTTCCATCCGCTTATTGGGATCATCCAGCAACTGATAGAATTGTTGCCGGAACTCCAGAGCCTTCTTTGATACCTCCGTACAGTCAGCGTACTCTGTCATGATAATGTATACCGTAGGTTTCTTTTATTAGTTTCTATGTTATTATTATATTCTTCTTTTCACTTTTATTCCTGTTTTAGTCTGTTCCTGTTGCTGAATTCCTTCTTCTTAAATAATCAAAAAAAAAACTTATTTTCTTTGGAGGCTTTGATGTCCGAATGAGATCCATATGGTGTTTCAATGTTAACCAGAAAAGAATAATAATATAAGAAAAGAAGTCATTAAAGGAAAAAATAAAATAAAATAAAAAAACAAGACAACAAAGAAAAAAAAAGATATAACCAACCAATATATATATATATTTCCCAATACACAAATAATATTTCCCATTAGGAGATTAATGAATTTGTAGAGTTTGTGCGTACACATGCATGTATGTGCGCCTTTTCGCCTTTCTTCCCGTATTGTGTCATGTGAAATTCTTTTTTTTTTTTTTCTTCTTCCTCCTCCCCTCTTTCTCTCTGTATATATATATATATCTGTTGGTTATCCTTCACACTGTGCCTGGTGTAATCTCTGCAGCATGGCCCCACTGAGTACATCGCGGCAGACGAGTGGCATCGATGTATTGCTGAAGATCAACCACCGCCCCTCCTGCAACTGCCGCCGCCGCAACTCCGCCGCAACGCCACACACCGCCGACTCCCACGCCTGCTGCTGCGATGCGGCGAGTGTCAAGGAGAGACGCGACACACACGCGTGGATGCACAACTTCTCCGCCAGCGTAATGCCCACAGAGTCCTCCTGCTGCACTTCGCTGAGAAAACAGCCGCAGGCCTCCATGCGATCCACGTAGTGCTGCACTAACGCCGCGAGTTCATCCTCCGTGGCTGTTGGACACGCAAGCAACAACTCGCCGCGGGCGTGCAGCTGCGCAAAAAGACACCAGCGCTGCAACACCAACGGCAAAGGCCGCAGTCGGCGAAGGGCATCGAGAGCATCACGCCAACGGCAAAGGTGCAGGAGAACAGAGACTCGCCGCAGCTCCGCATGGGCCTGCACTAACGTCAATCCAATCGTATCTGCACTGTGGGAGATCTTATCAAGTGCTTCAAGAGCCGCTAAGTGATTCCCACGCTGCGAACACATCATCGCAGATATAAGATCAGCGTACAGTACACCCATCACAAAGTGACTCGCCGCACTCACACGTCGTAAAGCTTCACTCATTTCAGGTAGTGTGGAGGAGTAACCAAGATAGTACGCTAACTGAGCTCGCTCAAATTGAACATGTTGCCATAGAAGCAAGTGATCCGGTGGCCAGTACTGTAAACCAGTCTTTTTCATTACCCCATCATTATCAGAGGAGGTACCATTCTCTAATATATTCTCTGCTGTTACTGTTGCTGCTCCTGATGTTGTATTTGTTGTTGTTGTTGTTGTTGTAGGTAATGACGACGATGATGATAATGAGATATTCTCTCCACCAGCTGTAGAACAACTGTGAAATAGTATGCTCTCCCCAAGTCGTGTTAGTTCTTGATAAGCTGATTTAATATACCCATGATTACGAAGCCACATAGCGCAGATAAAACGGTACGTTGATACATAGAAAAAGTGTTTCTGTACAACTTTTGTTCCTTCTTCTCCATAATGAGTTTCCACTGCAATAAAAAAATCCTGTAGGATACTAAATGGTCCAGCACCAGGTGGAGCATCTGCAGTACCTACTTGAGCAGCCAATGCACGATGCGCAGTTTGCCGTATGGCTTCTTGTAAAAGTAATACAGGTGGCTTGTACGATAAAAGTGATGACTTAATAGAAACTTCCTCATCCAGTTGTTTTAGCATGTTTCCAAGCGAATTGGCATTTATAGGTTTAGAGGAAGAACGAACACCATAATGTCCGGCGATAATCATCATAGTTTCCCTTGCAACTCCCGTAATCATCTCCGTCACTACAGTGGAGGAAGGATCAAGAAAGGCCTCCATTTCGGAAAGCCACAATGCATGTCGAACGGTCTGTGCAACGGTCTGAACGACCACAGAGTGACCACCACCAGCAGAAACAGCCACATTTTGTACACTATTACCAGAATTATTTCTGTTATTGATATTACCGATATTATTATTGTTATTATTATTATTATTATTATTATTATTATTATTATTGCCGCTGTTCCCACCACCACCAACACCAGCACTGGCTGCTACATCAGAGGAGCTAGAATTTCCGAATAGAATACCAGTTACAATAACAGATCGCAAATAAGTATCAACGGTACCAGGAGAAATAAGTAGAAGAAGTGCTGCTCCCATATATCCTAAGCATCCAGCATGATGACGAGGCATATTAACATCATTATCTGTATCATTATCTCTATGTGAAGCAGCATCTGCTAATTGCAACATAATAGCAATATCTCCCGCAGCTGCAGGAGTATCTTGACATGCAAAATGTACAAGAAAACTACTATAATGAGCCATAGTAAGGAATTCATTAGAAGACCATTGATGTCCTACAAGAACAGCCATATGTGCACAGTGTAGAGCTGCTTCTAATGATCGTACTGAAAGATAAAACTGTGCATAGAGAAGTACCCCACTTGTTATTCTCAAAAGAACAGAATGATGTGACTGTTGTGTATCATGTACTGCAAAACCAGATACTTGATCATTAATCATATGTTCCAAAAAATTATGATCAGGAATTTGCAAGCTAAACCTACTCTGCATAAGTAATTCTAATGTACTCCTCTTTTCCAAGGATCGAGTTTCAGAAATTTGACGCATCGCAGCATACATACTGGCAAGATTAAGTTCTCGTTTATTTTCAATCGCAGGATAAAAACTCTTTGGTAATGTACAACCACTATTATTCTTGTTAGATTTTGGTCTCTGTGGAGGTCTGACATTTTGTCTTGAACCTCCATATGCATCTGCATTGGCTGCTAATATTCCTCCTAATTGAACCTCAAGATCCGCAAGCCAACGACCAGTCTCCTGAGCCACATATACTTGCCAATTAAAAGATGCACAGTTCCAACTTACTCCCATCCACAGACTAAATGCTTGTGTAATACTTCCCGCTGCACGAACAGGCGAAAGTTCCTTGAGTCCACCAAATAATGTTGAGAGAGATGAGAGAATGATTGAACCACGTTCTTCATGACTCTTGGTTGACCAAAATGGTTGCGGTAATCGCATCGTCGGCCGGATATCTACTCGGAGAACCATAATAATACGACGGAGAAATTCGTCACGAACATCACTACTTCCAACATCACGACAGAGTTCTAGAAGTTCTTCAAAAATAGCAAATGCTCTCCTACTCTCATTCTCATCCATTATAGATTGTACACTCCACCCTGCTGTTGTTGTTCCTGTTGCTGTTGTTGTTGTTGTTGTGGTTGATGTGAATGTAGTTCCTGCAGTTGTTGGTATTGGCGATGTGGGGGATGCCAAACGTTCTGAAAAACCAAACACTGTAGGTATAGAAGATGAGCGTTGTCGCTGTTGTGATGAAGTCCGTCCATGTGAATCTCTCTCACTCGGTGGACCACGACAGAGTGCACTGAACGCAACAGAAAAATTCGCCTCACCGCTATCTTGAGTCTCTTCCACTGTTGTCGTTGTATTCTTACTGTGAGTCTCACTAGTTTCATTTGGTGTACTTTCATGCATAAAGGCCACGCGTTGAAGATACCATGTGACTATGGTCTCTGCTGCACGTGAATCTGCAGTAATAACAGGAGACCAGGCAGCGGCAATGGCTTTTCCGCAGAGAAATAAGGCAACATCTGTGAGACGCGGTACACCTTCCGCATTAGGGACACTGAGGGATGGCTCACGCAGGCTCATCCTTCGTCCAGAATATATATATATATATAGTTGTTCTATCTACTGAATCTATCTATATTACTTCCCCCTCAAAAATGTTTTTTTTTTATTTTATTTTTTCTTCCCTTTTTTTTTTCCGCCCCTTCGCCAGAGAGAAAAAATACAGGAAAGAATAAAAAATAAATTAGAGCACTAAGAGAAAACAAAAAAAACAAAAAAAAGGTCATTCCAGTCGCCCCAGGAAACACAGAGAGGTATATACATATTAAACTAAGAAAAAAAAAAGTGAAATAATATATATGTAACTCTCAACAAAATGGACAGAAACAATAACAATAACAACCACAACTATAGAAAAAGAACCGTAACAGTGATAGTGATAATATTAAGAAGGAAGCAATATTTGACACATCTAACTTCTCATGACCTCCTTGTGTTTTTCTTTTCTTTTCTTTTTAGTTCATTAGATTGGTATCTCGTCGAAGAAGTTCATTAAGTGTAACTTCAATCGTATCCCGATTACGTCGTTTAAGACGATGTTGTTTCAACTGCCGCATCGGTGATGCCCCAGAAGCAATTCGCTGCATGTTTGCTGCGGCCATTTCCTTTGCTCGTTCGGAACGACTCCATAGACATTTAGGACATGCACTTCGCCCAGGCGGCAGCAAACACCGCAGTCTTACAGACATGCGGAAGGGCGACATACAAGTACGACAGACAAATGTGATCACGGTATCATCGTGAATAGTTAATCGCCGAACTTTGGAGTTGGAGACAGTTCGTGCCACTTCACGGCATACATCCGGTCGTTGAATAGAGAGAAGATTTAGTGGCGTGCCAACAGCACCGCTGCATTGTGGACAACGATAGTAACGGAGATAGCGATCCGCAATAGAAGCGGTAAACTCATGTGTACAAGACCGACAACGCCAGTGAAGTAACTTATTACTCTCAAGTGGAAGAGTTGCAGGATCTTCGTTTGGCTGTAACTGCGCCTCAGCGAGAAGTAGGGCATCATCTTTTAGAAATCGTTTCATTTCCACAGAATTCAACTTCTTTTGTGAGTTTCTTTTCGTATTAGTAATTCTTGTTTCTATATGAGATGTGGAGGAATCATGTACCCCAAGTTTTTCACAAGAAGGACACAATGGAAGTATTGCGGCCCTTTTTGTTTCTTTTTCTGTTTGCTGCACATAACGGTGTACGCGGGAGTCCACGGACTCTTTCCATGATGAATGGCAGTGTGGACACAACCACCACGAATCAACACTGCACGGCAGCGGAACATCTCGCACGGATTCAAACATCACACGATTGTGCAGCATCGCATTACGACATCCATCCCATTGGGCGGCGAGCAGCGGATACACATCTGCAAAACGTCGAAGATGCGGCAGTGAAGATGATGATGATGATGAAGAAGTACTAATAGTATTATTATTATTATTATTATTAGTAGTAGTAGTAGTAGTAGTAGAGGCTGAAGAACAGTTTGGACAAGCGTAAAAGGCAGAAACTTGTGGATCCACTCGATCTACTGGACGTGCTGCCCACTGACAACTACATGTTGAACAGCGCCATAAGACTACATGTGCCCATGAAGGCAATACCTTTATGAGAACATCACTACATGTAGTTTCATTCTTCTCAAGAGGCGCTGCTAAGTGTTTCAAGTCACGCGCGTTTTCTTCACAGCAGAATTCACGCTGTAACGGGGGTGGTAGTGCTTCTAAAGAGAATTTCAAATGTGAAGAGGACTGTTCGAGCAACAATGGAGTCTTCATATGGAATGAACGGGTAGAAACATTATTAGTAGTAATCGTTGGAGTTCCATTACTGCAGCGGCTGTATGTGTTGCGGTATTGATAGCATGCCGCCCATCCAAGAACCGTCACAGCACACACTCGATGCATCTCACTACCCTTTAAAGGCTTACATTACGGAATCCCACACAAAGATAAGAAAGAAACATGGGAAAACAAACATTACAACAACAGTAATTATTTCTTTCCCTCAAACACAGACACTCACAAACAAACAAAAAAAGAAAAGGATGCATGTAAATACAAGGGGAATTGAGAAAAGAAAGATTACGACTCATCCTTTTTTTTTTTATCGTTCGTTCTTACTTTTTTTTCTACCCAATATATATATATATATATAAGCAAAAAATCAGTCCGAATTAAAAAAACAAAGATAAATCATACACTCAAAAGGTGAAAATAATGTCCTGTAAAGGAAACAACAAAAAATCTAGAAGAGGCACCACAGGAGTTGACGGAATCGAGATCAGCAAAGAGTAAAAGAAAGAATATAATAATAATAATAAAAACACAGAAAAAAAAAACTCATCTACGTCCTCTCTTTGAATTTTGTGAAGGGGTCTCTATTTCGTCCTGCTGACGCTTATTCCCAATCCCTTCGCTTACGCCTCTTGTTGCGGATAGTGATGTGGACAGACGTGGCGGCAGCACACTACTTCCTCGTGGACGCCGTACTGTGGATTCCACCAATCGCCGCTGCTGCAATACACCGCGAAAGATATCATTAGGAATAACAAAAATGCACTGCGGCTCCTCTGGACATTCCGCAGCGTAACGCCACATCGCCTTCGTCACATCTACTCGCGGCATCACCGCAACGGTTGCCTCCATCGTATTAAATGTGAGAGAGCCACCGGAGGCGAGAATCACATAGCGGAGATCATTATCGGGTGATTGCTGCGGTTGTGCTTGCGGGTGAACCCAAAAAATACAACCGGCGAAAAGTAACTGTCGTCGTTCCCGTGGTATTTGCATAAGAGTCATGAGAGAAAAGTCATTCACACCTTCAATGCTAGAGTGTGTGCGTGGCTCCGCATAGTGATAAGCCGCCACGTCGACAGACTGCAGGGATGAGGCAAGAACAGCGTCTAACCACGTGCGGTGTACCAGTCGCTGTACATACGGCAGTGCAGTCATGAGTTTCACACTTCGTATGAGTGGACCATCAATCACCAATAACTCCGCACGAGAGAAGTCGGACATGGGAGGATTTACTATAATGTTCATACTCTGTAGTTTTTTCTCTTTAGCTCTTGATAAACGAATACCAGTTGTAACAATTGTTATCTTACCATCTTCTGTTGTACAGGGCTCAGCAGCGGTTTCATTAATATTCGTATGATTTCCGTTTGAATTAATATATGGTAACCGCCTTTCTTCCTCAAATTTTATTTGTTTTCTTCGTGAATTTCCCTTTTTAGCTCGCCCAGAGGAAGTAGCACTACGACTACTATGACTACGACTAGTTGTAGTACTAATACTATTACCATAACCAGGAGCAGAAGTAACGGTGGTTTGTTTCGTTTGTAATGCACGTGGTGGATGCCCACGTGTTGCATTTATTTCTTCTAAATTAGATAACGACAAACACTGCACTCCAATATCTATTTTTTCAATATTCTTTTCAGAATTACAAAGTGTTCCTGGTTCTTTTTGAAGTAAAAGAGGATTGTTTCCTATATGAATGCTGAATTGATAGTAGTCCCCCAGACGAAGCTCTACGTGAGTAAGGTCATCTTTCACTGGGAAACTGTAACGATGTGATGGGAACAATCTCACTGTTTGGTAAAAAGTACCATTACTTGAAGAAGAATCAAGAATATCAAAAGAAGTCAATTTGTAGATTGAATTACGTTGTAAATGGTTATTTTCTTCTTTTTGAGTGGGGGAAGTCTTTGATAACTGAAAGTGCAGTCTCACCACCACATGTACACGTGAGATGCATTTATGCATACTCTCCTCAGATCTACTTCGCAATACAAGTGGAATATCACTTCGACCAACTTGATAGACACAAGTAATGCGCGGCGGCAGTACTTCAGCATTGGCACCAACACTTTCATTAACACAAGCAGCAGACCAAGCTTCACCTGTTAACGGACGCAGCCGATGATGTACAACAGGTGATGGAGGCATCATTCCGAGTGCCTCCCAAGAGGAAAATATCATTGGAAAACTCATCACATTATCATTATCATTTTCTTCTTCTTCTTCTGCCGTAATTGTTGACTTTGAGTCCATTGCCACTTCACTGTGTGTTAGCCGAACCACAAAGTTCGAAGACTTTGACGGTCGTGGTGGTTTACTCATAATTGTTGTTGTTGTTGGCCGGTGTGTTCCCTGCGAGTTGTGCGCAGCGCCGTCGTTGGAGTCCACCGCCTCCACATCCGAAACGGGCACTGTGCGTGTGGAGCATGTCTCTGTATCACTGCCGTCCTCTGTTGGCACAAGCGTTATCGCATCATCCTCTTCTTCCACATCGTCCTGGTTGTTGTTGTTGTTGTTAGTATTATTGTTGCTATTGTTGCTGTAGTGAAGAAGATGTTGGTGTTGGGAGTTTTGGCTGTTGTTGTGGTTGTTGCTGCTCTTGTGCACTTCTAGAGATACATGCGAGCAGACAGGGATCTCAACTTGTGGTGATTGCGGCTGCGGCTGCGGTGGTGGTGGTGGTGTTAGAGTGTGCAGCATAATAAGTCTGACAAAAGAAGAATAACTCACCTTTTAAGAGAAATGTATATAAAATGAAGAAAGAATGAAAGAAGAAAAAAAAAAACATTTCTTTTTCAAAAGGAAAAGGATTACCAAAGAAAAAAAAAAATGGTACGTTATTTAAATTCATAAAACAATAATAAAAAAAAAAGATAATTAAAAAAAAAAAATAATTTCTACACTTCTTTTTCATAAAACATCCAACCAAGTACAGTCAGAGAGAGAGGGAGAGAGAAAGAGAAAAAAAAAAGAAACAAATGAAAAGTGATGTATTACAGATTGAAATACAGTCAGAACAGTATTAATCATTGTCATTCTCTCTTTCTTGTTTCTTCTCTCTCTCTCCTCACCTTATTTGGTATTCCATTGTGTGTGTGTGTGTGTGTGTTTCTTTTCTCTTTTTTTTTTCTTCTTCTTGTTCTCCGTCTTGGTAATGATCTCACAGATCCCCCTCCTCCCCCATGATGTGTTTGCATCTAACTATTTTTTTTTTTTTTTCTTCATTTCTCATGTCTTTTCTTTTCTGTTCTTTTTTCATGTTAAGGTATACTGTGTCATTGTATCCGAATCATACAAACCAATCACAACTTGTGAGCCGTCTTTATTAAACCCCGCGCCTGTCGGCAATGCGTGTGGAATGTGATGTGTAGCCAACACCGTAATGGGTGTCGCCCCACTCGTGGACTTCACAGGGGCAGACCACACTGTGCAGTATCCATCCTCCGCAGCGGAGAGAAGTACATTCGCGACTGGATTGAAGGCCAACACATTAATCCATCGGGAATGGGCGCAGATCTCCAGTCGCATTTCACCCGAACGGCTGTCAAACATCTGCAGTTTGCCCGCACCGTTGGCCGCCACCACAAAGTCTCCATCACTTACAATCTGCAAGGCCGTTATACACTCAGACGTTTTCAGCGAAACGAAAGGCTGTCTCTCACGATTCCATAAAAGCAAACACCCAACCGCATCTCCTGTGGCTGCGTAAATATCAGAATTACTAAATGGACTCAACTGCACCGCCGTCACGGCGTGTTCCTCATGCCCCTTCACCGCAGAGTGCACAGAGAGTGGTGTATTGCTGTGATGATCAAAAGTCGCAAACACCACCACACCTTTACTCGTGCCAACCACAACATGTACACTATCCCCAAAGGCAGCAGAAAGAGCACCGCAGCAACCACTACCATTACTCCCATCATGTGGAATAAAACCTAACGGTGATTCTACAGTCCACAACTCTGTAGAAGAGGCCGTGGTGAGAAGCACAACGATAGTATTCTCAGGATGCAGCATCCCTGGGGGAGCTCGAATAGCTGTAATGTGTTTTATAAACTCCCGTTCATTAGATCCAGTGGGTAATAAACGTACTACATGTGTTTCTGTGTTCATCAACACACCATCTTTGCGTGAGGCGTACACCAATAACTCACAATCCTCAATAAAGGAAAGATTATTGTACAAGAGTGAAAGCGGTAAATGACCATTCGTTGGTTTGTGTTCCTTCACTCGAGTAAAAGTACGGGTCATTCCTTTTATTCCTAATTTTGTTCCTGTTGGTGTGTATTTCCCCTTTGTGAATAAATATGAACACTCGAAGAAATCAATCAAGGTAAATAGCAAAGAAAAAATAAACAAGAGAAGAAAAGAAGAAGAAAACATACCATCGAACTACGTTAATAAAATGACTCCAGATCTTCTCAAGAGATAAAAAGGAAAATGGAAAAAAGAAACAATGGAGAAACTAATCTACAAGTAAAAACATACTTGTACGATGCGTAACTCCCATGAAATGAGAGAAAAATTCATGAAACTACCGCCTAGTCGATCCATCAAAAAAAAAGAGAAATGCGCCATTTTCTAGCTGCATACTCTTTATGTAATCTCATAATAATAATAAAAACAACAACAACAATATATATATATATATAGGTCACTAATGAATGTATCGCAGCTAAAACGAGACCTAATAACACAAACACACACACACACAAAGAGAGATAGAATCAAGTAAATAAAACAAATGTTTTGATGTCTGTCGTTTCTATTTTTTTTGTTTTGTTCCCATTCCCAAACAATTTACACACTGCAGGGGAAAAACAAAATCAGTCGTAATTGCTTCTAGAGTAGTGAGACTATAACAATAAGAGCACCAACGCACTGCAGTATACCAAGAGTAGCATATACATAAGGCAAAGAAGATAATATACCAACAGGAATATGCTGACAGTTACGCTTAGGGATCATATTATTATTATTATCATCATTACTATTATTACTGTGGGTTTCCATCCTCACAGATTCCACATGGCAACCGGCACCATGAACTGTTCCCCTCATCATAACAGCAGGAATACAACGTTCTACAAATGTTTCTCTATTGAAGAAGGCTTGAATAGAAAACGGTGTCACTGTATCAACTTCTTCATATCGTGCGTGTATAGGAAGCAATAATACTCCTTTCCCTTTTTGATATTTCGCAGATGGTAATCGTGTAAAGGTGAAATTCACTTTATTTGTTTTATATGGGACGCGAAAAACAGGAGCTTCAATATCAAAAAAAAAGGATGAGTTAATACGTAGTGGAGTATACTGAGCTGTGATATCCTCTTCACCTTCAAGTGTGGAAAGACTATACAGCTGTTCAACCTCAGCAGCATCAAAGAAAAAGGAGTGTGGAAGATCCAGTGAGATACGCACAGTGTCAAGAGCGAGTGGAAACTCCACATCAAACTGCATATGATATCCAGCCCCACGAAAGCCCCAGCGGTGTATATCCACACCTACAGTAGATGCAGCTGTAGCCCCATCACACACGACTGTAGTTCCCTCAACTGTAGATACATGAGTAACAAGTAAGAGATTCAGCCATACAATAATGGTAAAAATGGCTGTTGTTCTGGTTGTTGCTCTAAAAGATCCAGGCAAAAGATTTGAATAGTAAGAAGTGGAACCAAGCATAACTAACTCAAGAGGCCTCTTCCTTTTATACTATTAATTGGAATAAAAACAGCATTCACGTATACATATAATATAATATACGCCCATGCGTTTGAGAAACAGAAGGAAAGGAAAGGAAAAAAAAAATAACGAAGAAATTGCAAAAAAAAAAAAAAAAAAATAAAAAAATACAAATTCACTTGCGAAAATGTTTAACGAAGTTTTTCCAAAAGAAAAAATAATAATAATAATAATTCGAGTAAAAAATATATTAAAACTCCGTACAGCGCTGTATGAAAACGAAAAAAAAAAAACTGAAACGATAGAGAACTACACAATAAATAAATAAATAAAATAAATAAATAAATAAATACAACAAATAACTTTTATCGGATACGAAACTCCGCCTCAAGTTGCTTCCACTGCTCTAGCATCGCTTCGAGACTCTCGATTTGTGACGCTAAATTGTCACCATCATCGTTATTATTATCATCGTCATTACGATTATTTTTATTGTTATTAGTATTATTATTACCATAATGGTAATTAAGATCATCATGGCCCTGTCGGGCATTACTCCAACCACGGGAGGCACTATCCGATCTCTCCACCGAAAACTTTGCTCGTCTCACATATTCAGCCCATTCAAAATCATCTTCAGGATTATCGGATGTCCAAAAAGGAGGAGGAACACTAGCATTAGCACTAGTACTAGCAGCAGAAGGTCTTCGCATATAATGGAAACTTGGTTCCATATGATTATAGTGTGCACTTGCCATTCGACGTGAAATGGGATTTGTCTGAGGCCTAAATGTACACGTCTGTGTAAATTCCTCTTCTAACTCTCGCCGTCTTGATTCCGCACGATGTTGCCGCTGTTGCAATAAACGGCTATTGCGTTCCTCAAACTCCGGAGAGAGTAACGGCGTCATTGTATGTTTCTGCTGCTGCTGTTGTTGTTGTTTGGGTCCACATGAAGAACGCATGCGGCTATCAGCGCGTGTACCGGAGGAAGAATACGCCAACTTACGATTTGTTGGATTTGTTTTTTGTTGTTGTTGTTGATCCCCTTGTTGTATTTTTATCTCAGGACTGAAGTTGCTTTTATGAACTTCTTCTTCTTCTTCCCCTCCTCGTTGTTGTTGTTGTTGTTGTTGTTGTTGTTGTTGTGGATTATTCTGAGAAGCAGAGGTAGATTTAGTTTTAGTTTTAGCTTTAGCTGCTGCTACTGCTGCTGCTATTTCTTCTTCTTTTATACGTTGTCGTTGTCTGTGGCGCTCTGCGAGTTCAACAGAATGTGGATTCACTTGTGGTTTCCCTACTCGCATCTTTTCTTCTTCATCTTTGCGTATATTTTCAGCCTTTTTTTGTGCTCTTGCACGTCTTGCCGCATCCCGTGCGAGCATCGCCTCCACATGTTCACGTATGGCCGCCTCTGTGCGTTTCTTTGGTTGATATTTCTCCTCTGGATGTTGTGTTGTTGTCTTCTTCTTTTCTTTTCCCTTTGTGTACAGTCGGTTGTATTTATCTCCCCGCTTCTGCCGCTTAGCCGCAGGGGTGATGGACGGCTGAAAGGTTGGTGTGTACTTCTCCTGCAATTCCCGCACAGCCGCGTGTTGTTGAACGCCCTCCACTACACTCACACGTCTCTTCTGCGCCATCATCTCAACAACCATTCGACGTGATGTTGGATTGACTTTCACAGAAGAGGCCTGTTGTTCCCGCGCTGCATTTTCTAAACGCGCTGCGGCTGCTCGCACATGTGCCTGTCGTCGTTCTTCCCACTCTTGCGAGGCGTTAATATACTCAGAAACTGAGCGGGAAACACGTTGGGCGGCGTAGGATGAAACCTGCGGTGTAAACCGTATTTGCTGCAGTTCCTCTTGTCGTTGTTGCTCGGCGAGTTCTTCCTGCAATTGTCGTTTCGCCCGGCCTTCTTGTACATACCGTTCATAGGAGCGTGAGGGATGTAAAGAGCGCCGCGGTGAGGGAGGCTTCTCTGCAGGAAGAGGAAAACTTTTTCCACCTTCTTTCTTACTCTGCGGCTGAGAGAGACGTTGATGAAACGACTCTAATATATGATGTGGTAAAGGTTTTTCATTCTTTTGTAAAGGAATTCC